GAAGCTTAGTCCACGTTTCATCTGACCTTTTGAGATATTAGAGAGATTAGGAGAAGTGGCATACCAGCTGGCTTTGCCTTCGTCATTAGAGGGAGTGCATGATGTGTTCCACGTATCGCAGCTTCGACGATATGTGCGAGATGAGACCCATGTCCTAGACATTACAGAGCTTCAAATTAGGACGAACCTATCATATGAGGAGAGACCAATGAAGATTTTGGACAGACACGAGAAGATCCTCAAGAATAGGACTATCCCTCTAGTATTGGTATCATGGGCACACCATGGACCTGTTGAAGCGAAATGGGAGCGAGAGGATGATATTCGTTAGCGCTATTCACATCTATTTATTTCAAGTAACATTTAGTTCCTCGTGTGCTTGGATTTAATTTCGAGGACGAAATTTCTTTTTCTTAGGTGGATAGGATGTAATACTTGAAATTTATTCATGTGATAAGTAGGCCCATGTGATATTACGTACCAATTGGAAAATCAATTTTTTTCCTCAAGGCCCAATAGTGTTTTAGCTCTAACCCGATTGGCCCACATCATTTTGTGCTGGTAGAGATTTAATACTTTTGAGGCCTATTTGTATTTAACCATAACTTCACAAGCCCATGAACTTAACATTTAAAGTTTATGATATTTCCTAACCATATCTCCCAACAAATCTTCGTGATTTTTTCTTCCCTATCAAATCATGCGATTTTTCTACAGATTATTTTTGTAACTAACCCGTTTGCCACTACTTGAAAATCCCTTAGTCTTAGGGATTTTCTAACCACAACCTTCCCTTAAAAAAACCTATCTCCTCTCCTCTACCATTCTTGCCTCCGAATCTGCACACAAAAAAATGAAACAAAACCAACAGAGAACAAGAGAAGGAGAGGGACACGATTTGGATTTATTTTTGCTTAGATTTGGGGTTCAGAGTCTTTTTTTGACAAATCGGCAAGCATCTCTTTCCTCAATTATTTTCTAAATTTTTTTATTAGCTTGTTCTTCATGCAACACCATTTTCCTCTTTCATTCTAGTTCATAGAAATAAATAGTATGCTTCATGTTTAAACTTATTAGAGATTTCTTAGTGTGTTTTATTTTATTCGTAGAAATAAATAATAGGATTTATAATCCTACGATCTATCTTTTTACTATCTTATTTATTTATTATATTTTTTTCTTCATGATCTTAACATTATTGTTGCTATTAGTACTATTACTTTCACATAAATTTTAGTACAAATCAGAAGCTTAATTTTTAGCTTATATAATATATATAAATATATCGTTTACTTATTAGAAAATATTTATTGAGGAATTTAATAGAAACCGACATTTAGTTATTACCTGCATCACCTTTGATATGAAAGATTGATGGTTGTAGTGGTTAGTTGCATTTGACAATGACATAAAGGTCTGGAGTTTGAATCCCAAGGACCTTGAGTTTTCACAAAAATGTTTTTGGATCGGGTTTTGAACCAAAAACCGACCCGGTTGGAGTTCAACATCAAATTCTAGACCCGTTCGGGTTTAAACCTCAAATTATAGACCCGTTTGACCCATTTCGGATCCATTATCAAATTTCAGACATGTTTAGATCTATAACCCCAAATTACAGACCCGTTAACCCAGTTCGGACCCATTATCAAATTCCAGACCCGTTTGGATCTATAACCCAAAATTATAGATCCGTTTACCCAGTTCGGGCCCATATCGAATTTTAGAACCGTTTAGGTTATGGTTCAAATTACAAACCCGTTTGACCCAGTTAGGATCCCATATCACATTTCCAACCTGTTTAGGTTTATTATTCAAATTACAGTCCCATTTGACCCAGTTAGGGTCCAATATCATATTTCAGACCCGTTGAGCCTTTTGCTCACTAAAATTAGTTTTTGCAGATTTTTGATGTTAAATTAAAAGTGTTTGGCCCGCTTTGACACTAAACTATTATGCTAATCAGTTATTTTCTATTTATTAAGATGAATGATGATATTGGTTGATCTTTTGATGCTTATTGGATCATCCAATGATGTGTTTGATCACCTAGTGACATTTAATAGGGTTGATTATGCATGAAGATGACTTCCATCAAGATATATGATTTATAAACGTGTTATCATAGCATGACTATACCCTCGACATCGATGTCCCGATGTGAGGAGTTTCTCTTGATTATTACTATTATTATAATAGCATTGACTAGACGATGCACCCATCTTGATTGGACATGTTTTGGGACACAGTTATTTTGCATAAATTTTTCAGAGATTATTTTACGGTAACTCTGTGGTTAACGAACAATATTTCATGCACAATCACTTAAAATAAATGAATAAATGTGCGATTTATAATGGGGAATTGGACGGAGAATATAATGTGTATATAACGGGTTCATGCGCATTCTTGATATCCAGATTTATATATATAAGAGCTAATGGCTAATCTTGACTTGAAGTCGTGTTCCCAGGATGGTTTACAGGAACCCAACTTATATACATGAAAATATTTTTCTCTAATTCAAATAACACCTAAAAGAATAATAATAATAATGTACTTGTGTGTCTTGCGGTAGACCTTGTTTAATATCTACAATTAGTGTTTTTCTTATCACCTTTAATTGAGTTTTCATCTTTTTTTATACCTGCTACATACGCTTACACACGTACAATTCTTTTATTTTACATGCTTGTTGGGAGTTTTCTGACTCCCCTAGAGTTTGAGTACCCCAGACTCAGGGACCGTTCTTTCTTCGCAGGACCGAGAGTACTTTGAGGATCAGGCCCAGTGGCAGTAATCACCTTCTGTCCTATCACTCTCTCAGCTTCAGTTTATTTAAGTAGTTATTTATTTTAGACTTTTCCATTAGCCACATGTGGTTCTCCAGACTATGATGTATTTATCTCTTTCCCATTTTGGATAGTTGTGGACTTGTCGTAGAACTTTGTAAATTTTAGAGATTTCTTTATTTATCCATTTTTCTTTGTTATCTTAGTTACATGCTCTATGTTATAGTTTTTTTTGACAATATATCTGTATACAAGATAATCTAGAGGTATGAATGTGACTGTATGGTTGCATTGTCGATCGAGTCATGTTCCAAATTATTACATTTTAGAACCAGTGTGTGACATGGTGACCCTCCAATTTGGCTCCATGATAGAAATTCAAGTCCAAGATTATGTCGTCCCCATTCCTACTGTGAGAATGGAGAAGATTAACTATGACCGTCAAAACTAGCTAAGCTAAGGCTTGATTCCTCTTATCATGGCGAGAGGAGAAATAATATGGATACATCCCAACCTTCTTTGAGATGAAGATTACACTCTTCAGAAGTCCAAAAATAAGCAAAACATGAAGACTTGCAATGCCATTTCTACAATCATTGAAGAAGTATCTATGCACATCACTTCACTCACCGACTCAGAGGGAGAGAAAGTGGCCATGACAGGGACAAGATCTCACAAAGATTACCTAAGGGATTACAATCAGCCAGGAACTCTAAACAACCCAAACCAGCTAAATAAAAGGATACCCGGTTCAATAAAGCCTTACAGCGTCCTCCAAGTGACCCTAAGGCCCCGTTCAAATATGATATCATGGCACAATTGGCCAACATTCTAGCTCGTATTACCTTATTCAAACTACTTTGTTTGTCTAATGATACGAGAGAAGCTTTAAAAGAAGTCCTGAATGACAGTGAGGTGTTTCTCGCCCACATGATCGAATCTCTCCAAGATGAAGGACCCAAGCAATGCTATCATTGCTGAAAGTAAATGTTGCACATCATCTTTATCTTAGAGTACATGTTGGTCAAAGATCATCATCATAACTGACCGCTTTACTACACTGGATATATAGGATTGTCAAGGATCGAAAGAATTCACATCAATCCAGGCTCCGCGTTGGGTATAATTTCACGAAGACTCTTGAGCTTTCTGGGAATTCCCCTTCACAAGCTCTCAAAGACGTCTACAACCATACTCGGCTTTAACTCCAGCAGTAGCCGATCTCTAAGAAAGACCTGACTTAAATGTCAGATCGGAAACTTGAAGACGGAAGTGACTTGGTATGTCGTCGATGTTGAGACAACTTATAACCTTCTGCTTGGACGACCTTGGATCCACTCCAACAAGCCCATCCCTTTAACACTTCATCAGTGTTTCAAATACATTAATGAACAAGAAGTCCAACAGAGAGTTGATGCTGAAAAGCATCCTTTTGAGGGGGTGGAGAATTACTTTATCGACTCTCTCTTGTATGATAAAAGTAAACAATTAAGATTGTCCTCTCCAATATCAAGGATAGCAGTAATGAAGCAGATGTTGAGTTAGATCCCAGTGATGATTCAATCTAGAAGATAGATCTACTTGTAATTACCCTAGAGGACGTCTGTATTGACCAATCCACTGAGGATCAGGGTGATTGGATCTTTAATAAAGAAGAGTTTATTTATGAATACTCTTTAGACTTTGAGTTTGAGAACTCAAGAGTCGAAATTTGATGGCCAGGCTAGCCTTATAATTGGCATTGCATATACTGATAAGCGAGTCGTACCCCGCCCATAAGCAGCTAGACAACTCGGAGGATGCTGCTTTCATGGTTCTGCCCAAATGGAGCACTTTGAATCCAATCATCTTCAAAAAAGTTGAGTCACAATCTCACTTACAGAACTCACATGAAGAAGCTAAGATAGCGCTAGAATTCTCCCGTTACAGTCAATAATTTTAGCAGATTATGGTAAAAATAGGATACAGTCTCACTGCAAAACAAGGGTTAATTTTTAATAGAGGACTACGGGTCCCTTTGATCTCCTTTGCACTAAAAGGTGAAGTTTTTAATTATTACAATCGAACCATATGAGAATTTAGTTATATCTCTCCTGAACCCAAGCCACAAGTAGGACCAGAATTTGATGACTTCCTAAGCAGTTTTTTAGAAATGTCCAACTGGGATTCTGTATCAGCCTTGGAGTCTTGTGTAATGAATTCACGACCAACATGGTCTCATACAACCTAACCATGGATCTCGATGAATCTAAAGTGTCCAGAGATCCTAAAGATGATTTATGGGCAAAGCAACTTGAGAAGCAATGGGAGTCATATTTCAAAGTTAGAGAACCACCCACCAAAGATAAACTGGTTTAAATCAACATAGGCGATGAAACTAACCCTATGCCCATCTTCATCAGTGAAAGTCTATCATTCATTGAAAAGGAGGAACTCATATTCCTCCTTCAAGAATACGTTGATGTCTTTGCCTAGAGCTGTGAAGACATACTGGGTCTAGACCCTAACGTAGCTGTGCATTGTCTTAGCATCAACCCTAGCATTAAGTCGATCCAGCAACAATAATGATGCTTCCATCCTAAATTAATGGAACAAATTAAGAAGGAAATCCACAAACTCATTGAATGTAGATTTATTCGTGAAGAACAACACCCCGATTGGTTAGCCAATATTGTGGTGGTGATGAAGAAGAGTGATAAGATTCGAATCTGCATCAATTTCTATGATCTCAACCTCGCTTGCCTAAAAGATGAGTTTCGTCTCTCTATCACGGATGTTATAGTTGACAACACGTGCGGGTTTGAGATGATGTCTTTCATGGATAGTTTCTCTGGATACAATCAAATCAAAATACATCCAGATGATAAAAAATGTGCAACCTTCATAACACCCTTAGGAGTAGTCTGTTATACAGTAATGACTTTCAGTCTGAAGAAGGCTAGAGCTACTTATCAACAAGCTATGAACATGATCTTTTGTGAAGATTTGAGTAAGATAGTGGAGTGCTACGTCGACGACCTCGCGATCAAAAGTCATCACAAACAGGATCACATTGGTGATCTAAGGACGGTGCTCGAGATTATGTGGAAACATTAACTCAAGATGAATCCAACCAAATCTTTCATCAGGGTATCATCAAGCAAATTCCTTAGGTTTATTGTAACATCCGTAGGAATACACGTAGACCCTAAAAAAGTGAAAGCAATCTAAAAGATGCCAAAGAGCTCAAACGTCTATAAGGATGATTAGCCTATATCCGAAGGTTTATAACCAATTTGTCTAGGAATTGTCAGTCATTTCAAAGACTCATAAAGTTTTCGTTTGTCTAGGATAACACTTGCTAAGAAGCTTTCAAAGAGATCAAGAGTTATCTCATGAAGTCGTTGGTTTTAGCCACACTGGTATCGAGTAAATCATTTCTGCTCTACATCAGGGCAATAGACCATTTCCTCAGAGCACTTCTCACTCAGATTAATGACATTGGCCATGAGTAAGCCATTTACTACCTCAGTCGAACTATGATTAGTGTTGAGCATTGGTACAACCCAGTCAAGAAGGAATATTTAGCATTGGTCTTCGCAATTCAGAAGATGCGATACTACCTCACCGACCAATCCATTCACATCATTTGAAGATTCAATCCTCTACGGATACTCATGACAAAACCTGGGTCACTAAATTTTAGGTTAGGAAATTGGGCGATACTGGTATCACAATATAACATGATATTTATGTCGCAGGAAGCAGTTAAAGGTCAAGCAATAGCTGATTTTCTGACAGAACACCCTATTCTGGAGTCTTCCAAGCTCTATGAAGACATCCCGGATGAAGTTTTCGAGTCAAATGCCATCCCAAACCATCAAATATGGCAGCTCTATTTTAAATGTGCATCACGACACAACCACAAGGGAGTAATTATTACAGCAGTGGGGGTAGTACTGATTGACCCCTATGGACATGTCCTCACTCGGGCCTACTCATTGACCGAGCCATGCTCCAACAACATAGCCGAGTATAATGCTCTTGTAATTGGCCTACAACTTGCTCAAGACATGGGCGTCAGATATCTTGAAGCCCACGACGATTCAAAGCTGATTGTGAATCGGATCAAAGGAGAATATGAGGTCTATCACAATGACCTCATACACTACCCAGAGCGGAAACAAAGCTCACCCAGTCCTTCCAAGGCTTCTACATTATCTATGTAGCTCGCCTCAAGAATACCTATGCGGAAGCTTTGGTATCCCTTGCAGCCACACTCGCCTTGGCACCTAAATCCACTAGGCGTGTCACGATGGCTAGCCGTCAATTATGCTCCCCGGAGTATACTCTTGAAGCCAACGAAGTACATGTCATGCCAATTCACTTCAAGGGTAATGATTTGTAGTACCCAATCATTGATTACATCTTACACGTGATACTACCTGATAATCTAAAGCAAGCGGCCTTGATTCAAAGAAGAGCTCCATGATTCTTCTATGATTCTGCTACACAAACTTTGTACCGCCGATCTTCCGATGGTATTTTGCTCTGATGCTTATCACTAAGTGAAGCTCGAAAAGTGTTAAGCCCATGACGGTGCATGTGAAGCTCATCAACTATGTCCTAAATTTTAAGACCGACTTCGTCGTCTAGGCTACTATTGGCCGACAATGATAGCAGATGCAGTAGCATATGCTAAACGATGTCATGCGTGTCAAATCCATACTGACTTTCTACATTAACATCCAGAAGAATTACATCTGACAGTCGCCTCTTGGCCATTTGAAGCTTAGGGCATGGACATCATTGGGCCAAATAGCCCACCGTCCGCTCAGAGAAGTCAAGACATCTCAAGTGATCAAATTCTTGAGACATCTTTGTCGTCGGATTCAAGGAACGCTGACGATGAACAACTTTGAAGTAGGTGTTGTATCCTTCACTCTTCTCCAAATTGGTTTTCGGTCATTTTCCACTTTTTAGAACAAACTTTTGAGAGATTTTGTAGAGGGTTGAGTTCAAATCTAGGATTATTTTGGGTTCTCTTGAGCTTACAGGAGTCTTAGCGAGGGAAGAGAGAGGGGAGAGAGAGACAGCGTCGGTTTTTAGGGGAAGGGTTAAGGAGTATAGTTTTTGGGGGAAGGTAGGGTTAGGGGAGAGGAGGAGGAGAGAAGAAGAGGAGAAAGGAGCAGTTAGAGGAGAGGAGAAGGGGAAAGACACAGAGAAGAAGAAGAAGAAGAAGAAGAAAAGGGGAAGGGGTATTTTTGGAACTTTTTGGAGTTAATTTTTGCAAGAAAGTGAAAAGAGCTAGATCACAATTTCTTAGGTCTTTTAGGGTTAAAACACATGGGAAAAACTTTAAGGGTCTGGGCCATAAGAGCCTTTTTTTTTTGGGGCATTGACATATTTTTCCCTTTTTAAATACAATTAGGTTCAATTATCTAAAATAAAAATCAGCGAATTAAAGATACTGTGAAATACAATCTTAACTTAAAACCAGCCTCGTTTGGAAAGGGTTAAGGCAAGAGTTAAATGAGTTTAACCTCTGTTTAACCATCCAAATAGGTTATTTTGTCAAAGGGTTAACAAACACCTTATAAGGGTTAAAGTTGGTTAAAACCCTTATTTAGAGGGGTTAACAAATCCGTCTAAAGAGAAGGAATAAGAGCTCTTTCTCTCTCTCTCTCTCTGACAACTTTAAAAAATAATCTAGTTTAGGATATTTACGGCAGTTATTCTTCTTAATCCTTCTTTATTTTCCAAACATAAAAACATTAACCCTCCATCGTAACTATAAAACCCAAACGGAATTAAATTACTTTTAACCTCTCGTGAAGGGTTGACTAATTTAGTCCTTTCTCTTAACCCTTCTCCCTTAACCTTTTCCCAAACGTTACTCTAAAGTCTTACTAAAATAACAAAATAGATTCAGTTGAACTAGAGTATTTATTGGATAAGTGCTTGTTTAACATGAAAACAATATTTGCATTTTGGTTTCCTAAAACTTACAAGTTTGTTTAAAACTTTCGACGTCCCCAAAATTTTTAGATACTTTAATATCCCTACATTTATATTCCTTTCTCTAAATGTGCAAAGTTTTTTTTCTAATGCTTTGATAGCCACAAGCTCACACAATATCTAATTTTGATATCTCAAACTTTACACATGCATTTTTTACTTCGATATCCAATATTTGGGAGTATAAAAATTTAGAAAGGAGTGAAATTTAGGTATCAAAGTCATAAAATGTATAAATTTAGGGTATGCATTGGAAAAAACTTTAGAGTATAAAAGTTAGAAGTGGGGTAATCTTTCAAGTACCAAAATGCAAATAACCCTACTTTTAATAAGAAAAATCAAAAGCTAAAGTTAGTGGATACAACATTGGCCCAAAAAAGCTAATTTTAAGTTTAGCAAAAGTTAGACTAGTTTTCTTTAGTTCAAATTTTACCCCTTAAACTAATTCTCTTTTGGACTAACCTTTATTTGGACTGACTTTGACCTAATTAAAGAAAAACTAATTCTAATCTAATCTCTTTTTGTAGTTGTTAAACACATCCTAAGATAAATAAGATCAGATAATAGAATAGTGATTGTGGAATATAATAAATGAGATCAAGCAACCGAATAATGGCTGCAGTATATATATAATAAGGAAAATGATTTAAGGACCCAAAATATGGGACCAAGGGAGGGGACAGGTGAGGTGTCCTCTCCCTATTGCATAATGAGTTGGCCATGCCAACTCATGCCAACTCATTATGCAATAGAAATGGGACACCTCACTTGTCCCCTCCCTTGGTCCCATATTTTGGGTCCCCGTAACAGCACTCATATAATAAATGAGACGGCACAAGAATAATTAAAAGAACTTTATTAATCAATTGGAAATTTATTTTCATGAGAGAACAAATACATATATGCATTGTGATCTCCTGAACCCAACATAATTGATTGTTCCAATACAGATTAATTGGTTACTATACTTGTGTTGTTTACATATGCATTCATATCTTCTGAGCACACAAGTAGCTCACGTACGCTGTACCACTAATGCTCTATTAGTCTAGACCTTAAAATATACATAAACAAGTTGACTACCAAGCAACGTTACTATAAGTTAAAGTTAGCTTATGTTATATTATTAGTGCCCATTTCATCATCATCATCTTTATTTGTTGCTTCAAGACAATGTAACATTGAATTTCATTGGACAATTATTTGAAAACACCTATTTTTTAAATTTATATAGCAAAATCGATCATTTTTGGAAAAAAATTTTAGCAAAACCGACCCTTTTCAGATGAAAATGGTTGGTTTTGCCGAGGAAGTGTTTTTCGAACTGCACAGGACTAGTAGTCCCGTGCATTTCGTTTTCTTTTCGAACTGCACTCAGTAGATAGTTTTGAAATGCACGGGACTGCTAGTCTCGTGCAGTTCGAAAAACTTTTCCGCAGCAAAACCGACCCTTCTCATCTGAAAAGGATCGGTTTTGCTGATTTTTTTCAAAAAAGTCGATTTTGCTATATAAATTTGAAAATGGGTGTTTTTTAAAAATTGTCCAATTTCATTTTAAAAGCAAGAAGCAAAGATATACTACTGTGGTCCATGTGCAAAGCTTAAGCGATTAAAAAGAGTAGCAAAAAATAACTTGAATTAAAATATAACTAAACGTTCTAATTCATATTTGAAGAGAGAGAATAAGTTATCATTATCAAATCAAATTTAGTGAAACTTCTAAGGAAATGTCTTTTTCTACATACAATGACAATATTGATTCTAGGAGATAGTTATTACCTTGTGCATATTTTTATTGGGATAGGTACGAAAAAGATTCTTTGCCTCCATCAAATCTGACTACGTACTTTGGCACTGTTTGGCAACAAGATATTATGTCTTATCTAAGAGATTGTGTCTTATTGACTTGATCAATAAGCTAGTAGAGCTGTTTGGTGACAAAAAATTAGGAGGAGATTATTTTGAAGATTGTGTCTTTTGCAAGTAGCTTTTGAAAAACTACCTCAAGTAACGTTTGTTTTTGGGAAGGAGCTGCCAATCTTTTTTCTTTCGTTTTTGCCCCTAATAATTCTAATTTTATATAAATAATATTGCATGTCCTTTTTAGTCATTTAATAAATTTAAGCTAGTTGTACAGCTATTTTTGTCAAACAGCTCTAGTCAATCAGCTAGCTATATAGCTATCAGCTATCAGCTTTCAACTACAATTTCACAGCTTTCAGCTATAATCTCGCAGCTTTCAGCTAGTTTTGCCAAACAGAGCCTTTCTCACCACATTTTCTACCATTCAAATTTGTAATTTCCATTTTATTTTCATTTTAATTTTTTCTTGACAATATTATGATAATTTAATTGTTAAATCACTTTCCGCATCAAAATCTATAAATAATAACATGTATCGTTGTTTTGTTTGTTAGAATATACTATCATTAATCATTATAACATATTTATAATCTATGTGATTTACACTACACAACTAAATATTAAGAACAATTGAAGAGAGAGATGCTTAGGATGAAACGGGAGGCTTTTCACAGTTGCCAAGAACAGCCTCATGGCCCCATCTATTTTCAAAATACAAATTATTTATTTAAAAAACATTTTTTTTACTCCCGTAGAATGCACGTGCCAAACTGGCAGTTGTTCAATTATAAAGGCATATTTTTGAAGTTGAAAACCAACCTAAATATCATAAGCTCTTAGAACAGCTACACATATTTATCGGTATCAAGCAACTGGTACTTCAGCTCCTTGAGAAAGCAAATGGGAAACAACATCGGACAATTCTTCAGCAGTCCTCTATCCTCTAATTCAAACTCATTGAGAGCTGCAATTAACAAAAAAGCAAAATAAGATAAACTCGACATGAGATTGGATTGCTCAAGAAGCACTTATAATAGGGAATAAAGAGCTAAAACACCACAAAAATGTGCTGAAAAACCTTGATGAAGCCTATTTTATGAGAGTGAGGTTACAACTTCGATTGACTTGTAAGCCTTGCTCTCATCTCTTCTGCAACTGCATCAATGAACTCCTCAGTGTTCAGATACTGATCACGGGTGGCCCTGGCATTGAAAGTTTCACCGCCATCACTTTATCGAGTAAAAATAATTTGTGAAAATTGAACTTTCCGGTAATAGAATTTTAAATACTTGGATCCGTGAATTAGAAGAGCAAGATCCTTGGTCATCTTCCCGGATTCTACAGTTCCAACACACGCAGCTTCCAGTTTCTGGGTGAAGTCGAGTAGTCTGGCATTGCCATCTAGCTTTGCCCTGTTCAGGTATTATTACTGTAAGTGTAATATTTCTCTCCAGTAATATGAAATATTATATATGGCATACAAATAGCAGTGCATCAACCTTTGAAGTGTAAACAACTTCCACTTATCAAACAATATTAGCACCCTTTTCATATTAGCAAACAGATACCCAAAGGAGATACACAATGATAAATAAGACCTCTTTACCTATGTGCAAGGCCACGTGACCAAGCGAAAATTGACGCAATGCTATTTGTACTGGTTTCACCTCCTTTCTGGTGGACCCGATAATGCCTGGTGACTGTTCCATGCGCAGCTTCCGCTTCAATTGTTTTTCCATCAGGGCACACCTGACATGAGATGCAAGTTCCCAACATCAAGGAACAGTGCAACAAAAAGCGCACCTTATTCTTCAAGTTTTAGTTTATTGCTAACCAATAATCTATTTAAATTTAAGTGCAAATGCACTCTGCAATTTACATTTCTAGACTCTTCATTCAAAAGAATTTATGTACAACCATGATACAGAGTTTCTTGGAAAATACATCAAGTAACCTGTCACTAGTAATCTGATAGGAAGAAAAGACAGTTGCCCTACTTGATTCCTAAATCGGGGGGAAAACAATAGCCGCATACCCCATAATGGTGTACAAAAGTAAACATGAAGTGCAAAGCAAGGGATTATTCCGCTTCATGGGTACCCTGTAAAAATTCACGAGTAAGAAAATCGGGTAAGTAGTTATTACTACCTTTAATATATTCAATTTTAAACTCATACACAGCGAGTTCAGCTTGCCATCTGGCAAAGATTTGTTTAGAAATAAGATTTTTAACATCTTTTTCTATAACGCTTTTAGCAGAGCTACAATCAATTCTTAAAAGAAATTCTTGATTAAGAATGTCATCTCTAAATTTAGATAGACACTTAATGATAGAAAGCATTTCTTTTTTAATGGTTGAATAGTTAAATTGGGCTTTGTCCCATTTACCCGAAGTGAACCTAACTAATTGTTCTTTATTAGAAGCTGGATCAATTTGTGTATAAATAGCATCTTCTTGTGGAATACCATTAACAATTTTAGTTGCATTTAAAATTTCATCTCTAGCATTAGAGGATAAATAATTATCCCACCATCCATTAAGGACACCAGTAAAACCACATGAAATATAAGATGCAATTATTCTATCGGTATTACCGTTTTGTCTACATACGGTAGAATACATCATCATTCTATGCATAGTAGAATATATGAGAGAATCAGATGCTCCATCATAATCCTTGAAGAGTTAAAGGTCTAAAGGCGACTTGTATTAAGCCAATATGGATATAATTATATTTGTCCATATAAGGTTCAATATCAACAGGACTAAGTAACTGTAAAGTTTGCTCATCCCGATCTACAGTAGTAGTTCGTTCTAAAGTTTTAATAGTTATCAAGGATTTATAATCCAGAAAACCTATTTTATAAATATCTCTATTAGGGATAGCAGGAATTGTCCATTTATTTAAAGCCTCTATTTCAGAAGTATATTCTGTACTTTGAGCATTTTTAACTCTTTTGCCCTTATTAAGGGTCTTACTTAAAGCAGAAGACGAAGGAATTAATTCTGACATAAAATCTTACAGATTTATTTATGTAAAACTAGCTATAAGGATATAAATTTATTATTTTTCTTTCATTTCTTCAAAAATCAGCTTAGTTAAAAGTCTACACGTCTGTCAACGGTTTACACTACCCACTTAACGCCATCTCGGCAACACTTGGGTTTTACACTACGCGACTTTGGTGACGTTCCATAGACTGCAACAACTAAGTTCATAAGAGAAGAAAGGAAAGAACTTATAACAAATTTACATTCTTATAAACAAGTTGACACAAATAAATCGTAAGAAGCAAATTAGCCAATCATGGCTCTGATACCAATTCTAAACATACATATAAATTAAAGCAATAATTTAAAAGAGGAAGAACTTATAGGGTTCGACGACCCACTCTTAAGATAATATCTGGATCTTCAATTTTATTTATAAGAAGGACCTTACAGCAGACACTTCTTCACACTTACAAACTCACACTTGAACTGAAAAAGAACTAGACTCAAAACAAGCACACTTAGAACATACTACACTTCTCAATATATAGATGAGAAAAGGTACATAGGAAGACAGCTGGCATTGCACTGACGAAGGATAGCTGGCAACGCACTGACAGAGCATCTTCATAAAAGTTGCTTTATAAAAGCATTTTACTTTTACTAAAGCTTCTTTAAGAAGTAGTGGAGTAAAGGAATCAAATGAGTGGCTCCCCGGGGCTCAACTCATAGGGATCTGTAGGTTTTACATGATTACAATTCTTTTTCTTTACCTTTCAGGTCAGATGTCGGATTCTGATTCAGAATTCCCATGGCAGCCTTCCAAATATCTTCTTCATCTTCTTCTTCTTGTGCGTCAGGCATAGTACTTTCTTCTCCACAAGAATTAACACTTTTACTGGACTGAGTATCCATAGTGTCGAAAGCTTCAAAAAATTATCTTTTCATATGATCAAGACATTTTTGTTGTATTTCTGATTCAGACGCTTGCGGATATTTTCGCCTAATCATTTTAGCCAATTGAATCATAGGGTTGATTTTCTGAATTTCTTGAGACATGGAATTTTCAAGAACACTATGATTTCTCTTTATAATTTCTTCAATTAATGCAACTTTTTCTTCAATCACTATTCCATTCCACCATCTACAATAGTGGTTTCGTTTAAGAATAGGAAGATGAAGATCATCCCAATCAGATTCAAATGTCCATGTCCATATCCATGGAATTTCAGTTTCAGAGAAGAAATGTACGGCACATAAGCCTTCGACAATATTATTGTCTTCCATTTTGGAAATGATAGGGTGAGATTCTACCCAAGCTGAATATAATTTAGCTATAGGTTCAGGTAGGATGCTAAACTCAGCACCATAAACAGTCCACCAATTATAGAACCAAGAAGGAATACCCTTTTGAAGAGCTTCTGGGCAAAGTTTTATTAGCCAAGTATGTTTATTTTTGGGATTTTGGTATAAAAAGATATTATAAAAAGCTTCTTTGTAATCCCAATAGTTGAAGGAATAGACTTGGCTGGAATTTTGGGGTTTAACCAAGGGCAAATCTTGGTTTGGATTTAACGCCCATTTGCGAGGTAAAATGACCTCTTTAATTATACATTTGCTGAAGTTGGGGGGAATGGTTCTATTTTCAGAACCCCAGAAATGAGTTATTTCCATTCCTTTTTGTGTAATCAAAGTTCTCATCCATGATCTCGGTTTTAATGATAACGTGGGATAATAGTTATCATTTAAATACCTTGTTCGGATATGATCAATATCTTTCATGGAAGAGACATCTTCTGGTTCTAGATATAGAACGGTCTCTGACCCCCTTTTAGGTGTCCATTTTGCTACTATCACTCTAAGTTGGTTTGTTTGATTTTGTATATAATACTTTAGAAACCAAGTTATGAAATATTCTAATTTATTATTCTTTTGCAAGTCTGTATAATACTTGTCCTTAAAATCTAGCTGTTCAGTTTTTGAAAAGCTTTTAAAAAACCATTGTCTGATTTCTTTATGCTTTTCTTCATAAAATTCTTTATTAAGAAAGTTTTTTTATACTTTGGTTTTCTTTAATATTCATTTTAACCAGGCATTCTAAAACTCATTTCAGAGCTAGTTGGATAATTTCTCTCTTTTTCTTTTTTATGTTTATATAATCCATGAGGAATATTATTCTCTGAAATATTAAGGCCTCTAATATCATTTGTTCTATAAGAACCTGATCTTGAAACTGACCTTCTAGAGGTACTAGTAACATCAGATAATCTAATCGTTCGAGAGGGGTTAAAAACAATTTCTACTTCTCCATCAACCGTCTGAGTTATTTGATCAATTTCTTGATTAATAATAGGTTGAGGTTGAACAGCGTTAGGTATAACCCAACTGTCAGGAAAATTTATTTCATCCCATTTAATCTGTCTATTAACAGCAATATTTGATGATAAAACATTAGTTTCAACCAAAACTGTTTTTCCTGGTTTAGAATGAATTTTAGCTTTTGGAGCTAAAGAGGTTAATGTTTTATAATGAATTCTGTAAATTATGGCTATAGTCTCAGATCCTGAGATGAAGTTATAACCATGAGTTTTTATGTTTAAACTTACTGCCTCAAATATATTTGGGTCTGTTAAAGATAAACTTAAGTTTGGGTAAACATTAAAATAGACTGGTCCATTACAAAGACTAGTTTCCATAATACCCATTAAAGACTGGGTCCAGTTTAAACATCTAGCATCTCTTAAACAAGTTAGTATGGATGCATTTAATCCTTGAAGAGTTAAAGGTCTAAAGGCGACTTGTATTAAGCCAATATGGATATAATTATATTTGTCCATATAAGGTTCAATATCAACAGGACTAAGTAACTGTAAAGTTTGCTCATCCCGATCTACAGTAGTAGTTCGTTCTAAAGTTTTAATAGTTATCAAAGATTTATAATCCAGAAAACCTATTTTATAAATATCTCTATTAGGGATAGCAGGAATTGTCCATTTATTTAAAGCCTCTATTTCAGAAGTATATTCTGTACTTTGAGCATTTTTAACTCTTTTGCCCTTATTAAGGGTCTTACTTAAAGCAGAAGACGAAGGAATTAATTCTGACATAAAATCTTACAGATTTATTTATGTAAAACTAGCTATAAGGATATAAATTTATTATTTTTCTTTCATTTCTTCAAAAATCAGCTTAGTTAAAAGTCTACACGTCTGTCAACGGTTTACACTACCCACTTAACGCCATCTCGGCAACACTTGGGTTTTACACTACGCGACTTTGGTGACGTTCCATAGACTGCAACAACTAAGTTCATAAGAGAAGAAAGGAAAGAACTTATAACAAATTTACATTCTTATAAACAAGTTAACACAAATAAATCGTAAGAAGCAAATTAGCCAATCATGGCTCTGATACCAATTCTAAACATACATATAAATTAAAGCAATAATTTAAAAGAGGAAGAACTTATAGGGTTCGACGACCCACTCTTAAGATAATATCTGGATCTTCAATTTTATTTATAAGAAGGACCTTACAGCAGACACTAAAAAACTTTCTTAATAAAGAATTTTATGAAGAAAAGCATAAAGAAATCAGACAATGGTTTTTTAAAAGCTTTTCAAAAACTGAACAGCTAGATTTTAAGGACAAGTATTATACAGACTTGCAAAAGAATAATAAATTAGAATATTTCATAACTTGGTTTCTAAAGTATTATATACAAAATCAAACAAACCAACTTAGAGTGATAGTAGCA